ATGACTAATTGTATAAACTATTAAAATATGTTAATAATTGTGATTTCTATTATAAAAGAGAATTGTAAAAAAAAAAAGAAGCTAAAGCAATATGTAATAAAAATTATAGTTCTTCACATGGTAAAAAAGAGTTTATTATTTTCATAAAATTAGTTTTATCTCAAAATTAATTTCAATAAGTAAAAATTTACAAAAAATATAATTAAAAATCAATTTAATCAAATAAAATGAAACTATTATTAAAAAGTTAATAAGGTAGACTAAATTGAAATAAAAAAAAAAGATGAATATACAAGTATTTAAAAATAATAGAAAAAACAAAAAATATATATATAAAAGTTATTATACAATTTATTAAATTAGACCTTGTTCTTTTGGTACTTTCCGAAATCATGACGCTGGCCTTGCTCTCGCAAAAAAAAAAAAAACTTAAATTCCAATCTTCACTGCATAGAGTTAAAGGCTTTTGATCGTTAGTAAATATAAATTTGACTAAAATTTTATTATATGATTAAATTACACCGTATAGGGATAATTAGAACTAAAATAAGCTTTAGGGTTGGATTGCAAAACAATACAAGTTCAAACACTAAATCAGAGATTATCCCTAATTTATTTTTTATCCACCATTTCTTGAATTTTTAAAAAATATACTGTAATTCTAAGTGCATTAGAAGAAAAAAAGAGTAAACTATATTTACCAAAAAAATTAAAAAAAAAACGTAAACTATTAGATAAAATAACACTTTATATATAAAAACGAACCCTCTAAATTTCATGTTTTGTGGGTTGTAAGTTCAAACTGTCAAATACTAATAATAAGCGTATTAGTAAAGCCAGGCGAATCTAGTGTACAGTAAAAAAAGAAAAAAAATATTGGCTAAATGTCACTAAAAATTTCTTAACTTTACAAAATGAGTCATTATCATCCTTCTACTTTAAAATAAGTCATAAATATCCTTGAACTTTTCAGAAAAGGCCAAGCGTCATCCCTCGGCATAAGTTAACGCCGCCCATACACCAGTTAAAATTCTCCAATTTTTAATGGTAAAAT